AGTTCATGCATAGAACGGGCGCGGCACGGAGGGACAGTATGACTCGAGCGAACTGGAGATTGCTGAACGATAAAACGCCTTCAATTGCTGGCATGCCACACGCACAGTGACGGGGTCGATAGAGTTGCTTGAGCCGCCATACATTAGTTTACCTATGCTCGTTGAAGGGGCACGCAAGAGTTGAAACTTACAGTGCTTTACTGCTCTCTCTGTGTAACCAAACATCGCACTGACGATGAGAGAGTCAGTTTAAATTGTTGCAAAATTATTTCTTGCAACGTATCTTAATGCGAACGACTTTATGTTAAGGTTCAATATTACAACAGTAGCTGTTTTGTTCCACAAATTGCACAAAAAGAGTTGTGTCTCATATTTTATCGACGATTTTTCTTTTTTTCCACTTCACTCATGATGGAACATCAACGTTTTCGGTCCTACGAACCAAACTTGGATTCAGATATCCGAATTTAGTTCAGATAACCGAAGTTCTCGGTACGATATGCTCACATTATGCTCAATAAAAATGTAGGTAACTGACCGAAGTTCGGTCCCTAGGTCCGAAAATTTACGTTTCCGGGGCTAAAAACTTTAGGGGGTTTCATTTGAACGAAGAAAGATAATTTTTCTGATGTGTACTTTTTGGAAAGATGGTATGATGGTAGTTAATGTGAAGCGCCAATGTTAAAGTAAAACATTATTTTTACTGACATACTGCACTTTCACTGTGTGTTTTGGTTTCAGTTTAGAAGCGGTTTTCGTTCATAGATTACTTAGATTCGCTTGAATGCAACTTTCTATAAACATGTAAGCTGTATCTTTCCTCTTTCTACATTTGAATTAATTTAGCCACACAAGTTAAGAGTCCAAGTCAAATAAGTTTGCGCACTTCTAGACTGCGAAAGAAGATCGCCTGACATCGATTTTACGTGTAAAATAAATGCGAGATTTTCTGTCGCACACGATTGTCGCAGCAAAAATCCGATTGAATCAAGAGTATTTTTTCTAGCCAATGTTTTCAAGAGTCTGGACTCTAGATCGAATGTGTTTTTTTTTTTTTTTTTTTTTTTTTTTTTTTTTTTTTTTNTTTTTTTTTTTTTTTTTTTTTTTTTTCCAGTGCAGTCATGTGACCGTCGCGTCGGGAAGAATCGCACGACGTCAACTATAACTCAAATAAATAAATATCAATTGGACTGCATTTTGCAATTTGGACCTATAAATTCTGGCTTATCTGAAAAAACACTTATGTGCATAGGGAAACTAATGGCACATACGTTGTTTTTAAACCGGGCCAGCATTTATAGGTCCAAATTGCAAAATGTAGTCCAATTACAAGTCCAAACCAGCAAGGCCAAGTTGTTGGTTGTGGTCATAATTGAACAGCTGAGAACAAGGAGGAGGGCCGTTTGCCGGGTAAACTGGTGAAAAGCGATGTTGGGAGGCTTCGCCGCGGCCAAAAAAGTGTCACGAAGTGGCGATGCGACGCGATAGGCGCGGACTGCAGCGTGCATACAGATTAGTGGCGACCGCGGTTCCTCACTTCGAGTGCATTCATCACTAAAATCCGAGCGGTGAGCGCTTGCATCCACATAATACGTGCATTTATACTGTCCAAATACGTTATAATTTTATCGAAGTATGCGCAATCCGAATGATGAATAGGGCTCCGGAGCTGGTCGTGCTTCGTTGCAACCCCGCGTTGCCGCCCTTATGCGTGTTTGGGGAATATTTAGAGATTCGATGGACCACCATAAGTGGCATTAGAGTCCCTTTATACTGAGAGTCAAGACAATTTGAATCCATCTCTGATTGGTTCCCGTATTTTAGGCCTCCACAGTGTCACAAACGGGAATAAAGATTACATTTTCACCAATTGCAAAGATTTTAATCTGGAATGAACCAGGGAATTACGGGTTCGGCAAGGAACAAACGGAATGAGAGGAGGAACGGAGAAAGGCATTTGAGAATGGGCCGATCAAAGATTACGAAAAACGTTCAATTTCTGTAATCTTTACTCCCGTTTGTGACATTCACGAGCCGAATTGTCTTGACTCTCAGTTTAAAGGGACTCTAAGTGGCATGAGTGCATTATGTGTGGAGGAAGAAGAAAAGGCACAAACAAAACGACGATGAAAGCTGAAATACACCTCTCTTCTGTGACTTTCTAGTTTTTTGTCCCTATTTTTTCAAGGGGAGACGTAGAACATTATTTCTTGGGATTTTCGCTGATTTCTCAATAATCTTACGAGCTTTTTGACCTGGTGGTCTTGAGCTTTCGATGCAAATTCGTCACTTCGTCACCTTCCCAACAAAAAGACGGAACTACACTTCGAAGTGAACCCTGTATTCCGTATAACTCAATGCTTTTCCGGGCTCATCTGTAAGTGTAAATACGACTTTGTGTCAGCCAAGCGATGACTTATGTGTAACATGTAAAACATTGTTCTGCAAGACTGCAAAGCTCAA